CCTTCATTGAGCTCACTCGACAGTCTTTGCTATGCTCCAGCTCAATACCAAACACTTCACTGTCCTGCTCAACGAGTGCTGTGCCAGGTCCCTTGTCATACAGAAGGAGAGGATTCGCTTACTGGTTTGGACTACGATGACAAGGGGATCGATGTCACCTTCGACCTAGTAAACATCGCTCGTACTCTCCTGAAATTGTCGTATCTTATGACCCGTTTTGTTTACAGACCAGAACAGTGACAATACCACTTTTGATACCCGCAATCTGGGTAGCTACTTCTACTTAGAGTGATGATTGGCACGTATCTTTCATGTTTGAATCCCTTTCTCGTTCGCTTACCCGCGTCTGTAGCGCACTTCATAATTTTTGCCACACTCTCCCAGCGTTCCGTCACTCCTGTCTGCAGTCAGTCTCTTGAATCCGACTGATACCTCATTTGCAACGCTTGCCATCCATTTCATGCAGTGCGGTCATTATTCTTGCTTCCGTCCAGTAGATAGTTTGACTCATGCACTATACGCCCACCACAACCTCTGCAATCGTAGCGTTTATGATCCGAGCCTCGGTCAATACCAGAGCTTGAATGTGACATATTTGATGGATACTCTGTAGATTTGTTTGTAACTTTACTATGTGAATGACTGTTCTGCTTTTATTTGCTAAGGCATTCAAGTTGCGCTAGACAAGTCACTGGCAAAACTATGAGGCACGACTAAACATCCATCGCAAAGTCCAGCTTAGACAGCAGGTAACCACACTGCTTGTGTTTGGCAATATATTATCTTGGACATATAAGTCACTGGCAAAACTATGAAGCACGACCAATTGATATCAGTATTCCGTTGATTTTGTAACTTATGATTATTGATTTGTTGTCAATGTAAGCATCCATCACAAATTCCAGCTTAGACAGTAGGTAACCATACCGCTTGAAGCACGACCAATTGATATCAGTATTCCGTTGATTTTGTAACTCATGATTACTGATTCGTTGTCAATGTAAGCATCCATCACAAAGTCCAGCTTAGACAGTAGGTACCCATACTGCTTGAAGCACGACCAATTGATATCAGTATTCCGTTGATTTTGTAACTCATGATTACTGATTCGTTGTCAGTGTAAGCATCCATCACAAAGTCCAACTTAGACAGTAGGTAACCATACTGCTTGAAGCACGACCAATTGATATCAGTATTCCGTTGATTTTGCAACTCATGATTACTGATTCGTTGTCAATGTAAACATCCATCACAAAGTTCAGCTTAGACAGTAGGTAACCATACTGCTCGTGTTTGGCAATACATTATCTTAGACATATCACAACTATGACTGACAATCATTTGGTATCATCATTACATGTATTTTGTAGTGCATGATTGCTGCTTGGTTGGCATTGCCAACGGCCATCATGAAGTTCATTTGAGGCAAAGGATGACCACTATTCTGGAGAGCAGCTGGACTTCCTGCAACAGTTTATCTATCATATGTCACAATTGCGAGAGATGTATATCTTCGTCAGGATTATTTTTCTCTTGCAAATTCTTATCCTTCGATGCCATCATGCTGTGATTATTTTTTGCTTTATCTTTAGGTATAACTCAGTAAACATGTGATCTGAATTTGCCATTTATATCTATAAAAACCTTCTTCTCGCCGGTTTCCTGATGTAGTTGACGCTTGTATCGTAGCTCTATCATGGCAATATATCTGCCGAAGATGCCCTATATCTTATCAGAACTCGGTCACATTTTGGATCTGAAACGGATCTGATGACGTACTAGACGATATGCATGGCCATGACCCTCCATGATCTTCTGTCTTTGCGCTAGTTCAACACTCGGAGTTTTATGTAAACCAACCTCTTCGCGTCTTCTGTATTGTACTCATCGTCGTGAATTCTGCTGCGGAGAAGTCCAGCCGGCAGCACGTGTCCGTGATTGAAAAACAAATTCAGAGACGGCGTTCAGGGGTGTTCAGGCTGTCGGGCTTTGCCAAAAGGGACTACAACGAGATGAGACATCCTGTAAGTGGATATGCAGTGGTCGTCATGAGCAATATACATCATAATGAAAGGTCCTGCATTCTAAGCTTGCAATTGCATGAGCTATAGGCCTGTTGTCAAGGCTCCACAATGCAGTCGCACAGGTTTGCGTTTCCAACGGTAAGTAGCGTGAAAATCCCCTGTAACTGCTACCGTCATAGCTTTCGAAACCAATGTTGCGTCCTCCTTGGATGTTTGGAGAATCGAAACAGCACGTCTGACTCACCGTCATACTTTAGCCAGCATTACACGCATACTGCACCAACAACACCGCATGTCTCATACTGCCTGGCGGCAGTTTCCGAGTCCCTGCAATGCACATAATTTCCGCAACACTGGTGGACCCGACGGCCCGTTTCCTCTACGAGTCCGCGATGATCGCAATCCATAATATTTCCCTGACTTGAGCGTTTGAAATTCCAAGCGCTGTATGCGGACTGCTGGAATGGAATGCTAGCTTGAACGAGGGAGCGTCTCATCTCGCTCATGATGCAGCTCTGACCAGGTCGTGGAGCTTCGCCAATCAATGCTAATACACGCGCAGAGTCAGCTGCCTTCTCAACCCATTATGAATACAAAGACATAACACGCACTGACAACCAAAATCAGTTGGTCGTGTTGACCTATGCTAGCCACAGGGCTGATGAATGATTTCGCAATCTGCATTCTCGGAACGTTTAGTGAGGCTTTTAGAACGTGTTATAATCCTATCGTCCCAAAAGTCATTCAAGAGTCCCTCATACTAATCCTACATCACCTTCACATCAACTCCAATTCCAAACATGCGTTTCTCCTTCCTCGCCATCGTCGCTACTTTGATAACCATCATGTCTGTTAACGCAGTGCCAGCTGTGTTCGACAGGCGGTCATGTGTCAGTGGTACCGACTGCGTAGGGCCTGCCTGCTGCATTCAATATTGTGTGAGCATGCAGTTCGCGTGTATCTGAGATTCAAAATCAACTCACCCTTTATGCCTTCCGATAGAAAAACGATATCTGCACTGATGTCTGATCAATGAGAAACAAGAAGGATTCTTGAGATGCAGGAGAGCTGGCGCCTAGCGAGAGTCACAGTAAGTGACATTTCTGCTTTCATATCGGTACTCATGGCACAATTCTTAGTCGATCGCTGAGTTGGTCTTCATTGCCGCTAGTGCTTCAGCAGTGAGAGGAAATTCAGAATATGATCAAATACTCAGCTTCGAATATAATATTATTAACTTGAAAATTTCACATATAAGTGATGGAAGTACTGCGAAACTGGTTGTCTCAGCTTGTCTGTGCGTTATAGCATGTGCACGTGAAGAACTATGTGTCCCCCGAGCATAGGGCTATGTCCGACATATGGTCTATGACCCCAAAGGACAATAAATCGATTTTCTTAAAGAACAAGACCATATGATGGAGAGGGGATTGTGTGGTGTAAGTCGGTGGCTGTATGAGAGAGTACAAAGCGGAGTTGGAAGTGGGTGATGTACGAAGCGGAAATCGATTGAGGAATGTACGGGTTTTGGATATGAAAAGCCGACTATGAGCACTGTACGAACGCAGAGGACAAGCACTTTGAATGTGGTGAGAAGTACTCCGAGGCTATATTTGGATGGACCTGGAATATTCATCGACAATGAGCACTCAAAGTTAACTCAGTGTTCGAAATGCATCTCGAGCGATATAACACCGTGTTTGAATTGAACATGAACCGTTTGTCACAGCCCCGCGTCATTTCATCTTGCCCGGTATGTAACATAACTTGCTGTGCAATCTAGTAAAGCTATAGAGATGGAGATGTGCGACAAACGCACCCATATACCCATCAATGACTCTTCTTCTTGCTAGCCTCATGATGAGACGAAAACCTTATCTGAGCATCCCGGACGAATGATCTATGATAAGCTTTAGCGGGGGATGAGTTAAGTTTCACTATCATCATTCAGGCTAAGACACACCAGACCTCACCGGTCACCGGCGGTCTTAAGCTGGACTTCACAGTCACCGAATTCGTTAACCTCGCTGGCAAAGAGTATCAGCCACGGCTTCCAGCGCGAAGTAGTGCTGCCGAAGTCCGGTTCGGTTCGGTTCTTGGGGCAAATTTTCCGAACGCCGAACCGAACCATAGGTTCGGTTCAGCCATTTGGTCGAACCCTGGACCGAACGTCACCGAACGCGTTCGGGAGGGTCCGGTTCGCGTTCGAACCAGGTTCGACTAAGCTTGGACCATCTGTGGTTGTATAGGCTCGAGACCATGAGTTGTCATGTAATTCGAGTCGGACAGACAACGAAAAGACTCTAACGCAAGGAGAACTTCTTTGTACAAAGATTGAATTCAAGTTTCTAAAATAAACACATTTTATTTGCCCGGTGCACATAGTTCCCTGATCACATTCTCATCGATCCTCTTCTCTAAACATATCTCAAATGCAGCAGCATGTACGGTTGCAGTATTTGAGATTGCAAGCGTGTCAATCTTCGCTGCAGGATTCTCTGAAAGGCGGAAAGCCCAGAGAATAACAGCCGTATTGATGAAGATGGACCGATTCGCGACATGTTGACCAGGACACACTCTAGTATTTTCCACCTCAGGCATTACTTTTCGGAACCAATAATGGTCTTTCAGACCCGGTTTCTATGTTGTGGGAAAGTAGTCTGTGAGACCCACCCTCCCGCCATCTATTAATAACACATCCTCCTAGCGTGCACCGCGCACCTCCAGGAAACCCTCGCGCACCTCCAGAAAACCCTCGCACCCTCCAGAAAACCCTCCCGATCCTCCCAGAGAACCTCTCGTACCCCTCCAGAAAACCCTCCAGCCTCTCCCGTGGCTCCAATGCACCGAGCTTGGGAGCCTTACTCCTCCCCGTTTCGCACTGTAAGTTCTTCTCTTCTTTCCCTCACCATGTCTTCCTCGACACCTCGTCGCACTCGGAAAGCTCAACTTGCATTGTTTGGCCTAGGCTCTCACTTTGAGAAAAGATGAGGACACGCAAATGAAGATGTGCATCCAGAGAACGCGTTTGGCTCGTTTAGTAAGCATTTGTTTGTGCCAGCTGGTTGTTCGCAAGCTCATGTCTGGCTCAAACGGCACTCTATTAATAATACATCCTCCTAGCATGCACTGCGCACCTCCAGGGAACCCTCACGTGCATCCAGGAAACCCTCGCGTGCCTCCAGGAAACCCTCGCGTGCCTCCAGGAAACCCTCGCGTGCCTCCAGGAAACCCTCGCGTGCCTCCAGGAAACCCTCGCATGCATCCAGAAAACCCTCCTGATCCTCCATAAAACCTCTCGTACCCCTCCAGAAAATCCTCCAGCCTCTCCCATGGCTCCAATGCATCGAGCTTGGGAGCCTTGCTCCTCCCTGTTTCACACTGTAAGTTCTTCTCTTTCCCTCACCATGTCTTCCTCGACGCCTCGTCGCACTCGCAAAGCTCAACTTGCATCTTCTGGCCTAGGCTCTCACTTTGTGAGCCCAAGGAAAGCTCGAGACAAACGGAAAACCCAAACATATGTTGAGCTGCCTGGCGCAGAGATGAAGCGCCGCCGACTTTTAGATGCAATGGAGCGACTTATGAAGTCGCAACATGAGGAACCACACCTGCAGTTATCTGTTCAAGCTGCACCACCTGATACTGTGATTATGGAACACATGGATGCTGACAATCTTGTTGAATTCCACTCTGAAGACGTGGATGAACAACCATCTCTGGAGATCTCAGTAACGTCTGTCAAACGGCGGATCATACCAGACCAACCCACTAATTCACTGTATAAAAACTGGATTGCACTCATACCAACCCTTGTTGATCCGGTACTCCGGTACTTTGGACGAACACAGGGCAAAGCACTGGAAACTATACATCCAGTCATATCTGCATGTGGGGAGCCTTCGTGTACACCGAAACGGACAACAATGATGTGTTTATTTTTTGATCGTCAGCCCATATCTTGCAGTGTTCAAATTTTTGCTGACATTTATTTAGGCTTTACATCTATAGATGTACTAAGTTGTACCTGCTCGACTCTCCAGCAGGTCCTCGTCCACCATGGTCTATTCCCAACCGCGCCTTCACAGCCTCGGATGGCTGTGTCTGTTGACTTGC